AACTTGCCCAGTAATGGAATTGGGCTGGCAAGGCACAAAGGCTAACATAGACTGGGACCTCGCCTCCCACCTCGATACCCCATCGAGTGACACATGCAAAGCTAATCCGAGACACGTAGCAAGCCTGAGAGGGCGTATGTCCCCCGGCGGGTACTTGTCCGAACGTACCCTGGTACGGTCTGATATAACCTGAACCGTACCTGGTAACCAAAATCTAATATGCCGAACCGCGTACTCGCCTAACTCCACTACGAGCAGTCCTTTACGCGGAGTTGGAGAGGGAGAGGGTAGCGGAAAGGCGAGAGAACTATATTAGAACTATATGTGCATTCGTGCCTGTGTGTGCCGTTTGTGCTGTACGTGCGTTTGTCTGCGCGTGTGACTGCGCATGCGTGTGTACATCTCCGTCTACATTACTCTCTCCCTCCTTTCTCGCCTCTTTCCTTCCTCCTCCTCTCTCACTCCCTTCCCCTCAGCATTTCCCACCTCCTCTCACGGATAGTATCGCCCACGGCATCAGTTGCACGGTGAAAAGTTAGCCAGGCAAATGGCTAGTTTTCAGCCTCAACTTTTTCATCCCCCAAAGCACAAAATGTGGAGCCGGATGTGGAGATACGGCTATAATACGCGTTTTTACAGTCACACAAACACACATATACACACACTAACGGACGCGGACACGCGGGTATGGTCGCACGCACGCGTGCGCGTGTATTATAGGCGTAAATTCACATTTTGTGCCTCGGGGGTGAAAAAGTTTCGGCTGAAATACGGCCATTTACCTGCAAAAGTTTTTCCATGCTTGACTGGTCGTGGGCGATACCATCCGCGCGAGGGGAGTAAGGAATAAGTGCTGACTTTTATTCGCTGTTAATGTTACTGCCTGACACAGCAGATGAAAGGTCAGCAGAAAGAACCGGCAATTGTTTATTATTATTATTAAATCTTTATTGCATGTAATTCAACTACAAATACATGTACTGAAGACAGTCTTTTTCATCGAGAAAAATCTGATAAATGCAATAGTGTTGAGCAATTAAAATAATAAAATTTCTGAGTGATACAGTACATTGTGTGATACATATTTCTGAGTGCTACATCAAAGCTTTACATATTGTTACGACTGTGACATTAATCTACGTGAATGACAATATGAAACAACCATTGTGTACGTTGGTAATCGGGTGTTTAATCTGCTGTAGCCACCCAAATTGCACGTGCACGTACCGTTAACAATTTGAATGTTACCTCTATCTTCACTTATGTTCAGGGGTTTGCAATCAACGCAGTCTACATTAGTACGTTGTATTCGTCTTTTGGTATTAGAGACCCATAACTGCTAAATATCAGTTCATAGGTTTCTTTAGTTTTACTCCTTGTGTTTTTGGAATAAAAGATGCTATGGCTGTTACAACATAACGGAAAGATTAAAAGATTGCAGAAGAAAAAGTAAACGAACAATATGAAAGTCTTTTTCACAAACAGTAGCAGTTATGTTTATTGCACCACATTGTATCATACAAACTGCAGCCAATTATAATTTATAACCTTATTTTACCATGGAGTTCAGTAGACCACATCCATGGCCACGCGAGTTTCACCCAATGTGTATCGTAATTCAGAAACTTTGCAACTGACCTATTAGCACAACTTGAACCATCAACAACAAACGAGCAAAAAGGACTGTATAGGCCTACTTGACAAAAAGCAGGTACAACAAACTTTGCATTAAGTGCAGGTGGCGTGTGGGAGGGATGTTTACAAGAAAACCATAATATAGCATTCTCTCTGTGCCTCTCAGTCATAGTGATCAATATTGATATTATAACCCACTCACAAATTTCATTTTAAATTGACGTTTGCTCTACCATAATTTCAGGCGTGTCATAATATTGAGATTCTATATTAGAGTAATAGAGTTTAATAGCAGGAGTGTCATAATATCATGATAATATAGACTATTATGATAGACTATTATGACACTATATATTATGGCACTCCTGGTAATTTGTCAGCTACTGGGAAATGGTAGGGTATTGTCTACATCAAGAGTCTACATGAATCTACCACAAATATATACACAAAATCTACAACAGCAACGGAGATCTACATATAAAAGTTACACGTAGCAGAAGAACTGTTAAATAGCAAATTAATAAATAAGTTCTCGGAAATACTATGTACAATGCTAAGAACTAGCCAAAAACTAATAAAAAAAAATGCAAAAGGCAACCGATTTAAAAAAAAACGGGTGTAACGTTTGCACCGACTGGTATAGGTACGAACGTGGCAAATTAAAACTAATATAAATACGTGTGCTTGTGGCATCGCCACGCAGCATGGCAGTGACACACTTGACTGATAAAATGAGATCTTTGCACAAAGATACACGCTTGTCCTTATTGAGACGCAGTCCTTCACACAGGCAGTACATTATCAACTGGCAATTGCTTCACAGAAATACAGGCGAACCTTGCCATCCACAGGCACTTGGAACGTCTCAATAAAAAAAAAAGATAGTAAATAAACACGAAATGTATTTACTACCACAGTCTTAATGTTTCTCTACTCTATTTCGCCTATTATTGCCGCCAATTACCCGTAAATGCCGGTCAAATGCTCATCTGCAACACACAATTAAGTACACCCCACGCACGCCCTGTGCACAAACAACATGAATAAGAGAGTTTCAAGAACATCCAAGATTATTCCAAGAACTCGCTTATTCATGTTGTTTGTGCACAGGGCGTGCGTGCGGTGTACAAGTGTGTTGCAGATGAGCATTTGACCGGCATTTACGGGTAATTAGCGGCAATAATAGGCGAAATAGAGTAGAGAAACATTAAGACTTTGGTAGTAAATACATTTTGTGTCTATTTATCTTTTTTTTTATTGAGACGTTCCAAGTGCCTGTGTTGCCATCTGCTATCTACAGACGGATCGCATAGAAAACTATTCTGTTCGCCTATTAAGCACTCACGATAGCCAGCCATCTGTGTGTCTGACTCGTGCTTATCGCCCGCCCGAAACGCACGCAGACGTTTGACCGTTCAGCGCAATAACGCGTTTTCGCTTCCGCGCAACAACAATGCCTCTCTCGCAAATCGCTGGGCGATTTTATTAACGGATGAAACGGAGAATTCGAAGCGCGATCTTAAACTTAAAGCATGCCGTAACGTGAGCGAGCGTAAGAAACCTTTGGATCATGTGCAACGCGGGGGTACATCGCGACGACAACGACAGACACTAATAATTATAATTAAAACGTACGCTGCAGGGACATCCACATCATTCAACAGACAACTTTCAACATCAAACACAATTTAAATTCGGCGCGAGTTGCGCGCGTGGGCTGCTGCGTGATGCAGAGTTTGCCGCTCGCAAACCCACGCCGCTCTTTGCAACGCCACCTGCTGACAACACGAGCGCCACCTACCATCACTACTGCCGCGAGCATACCATGCATCAGCGAACGCGGCCGCCGCCTAAAACGAAGGTACGAACAGCGATTTACGAACAACGCGTCGATCATGCGTACGTACGACAGAAAAACGTAAACGAGTGGATGGTGGGCGTAGACCTTACCGACGCGCCACTCACTAGACATTTATAACGCGCGAGAAATGAGACGGAGAGAGCGCGCGAGGGCGAAACGAATCGCCAAACAAGCGCTTCCCTGTAAGTACGCTTATACGCGATAAGTAGACCAACGCCTACGCGCGCTGATGCCATAACAGATAGTAAACGCACTTCTGTGCATCAGTTGATGATACACAGAAATCTGTGCATCACTTCGTGATACCTAAGGTGCCTAAAGTGCATTTGCGCCACTGGCAACTGCTGAATAAGTGGCCACAATTTGGTCAACGACGTAGATATTCGTCTGAGCATCGAACACCTGTTCGTATGCGCTATTCGTCCGAGCAGTTGTTGTGCATGCGCTGCATCATGTAGGTCAGGGCATGCGCATGGCACGAGTGCCGGAGGTAGGAAGTGTGAAGGGGGGGTCTGAGGGAAAATTTTGAAATCTAGACGCTCTAAAATGCTTAATTGCTATGAGCGTTTTGCTACGGCAGCCCTACGGCTGTAACGCCCTGCATACATGCGTATGTGGTTATACACCATAGATGGTGTTTGGTACTATGACTCGCGTATATAAGAGATCCGAGTCGGTTTTAGTTAGTGTTAGGGTTAGGGTTGGGGTTGGAGAGTAGGCGACTTCTTAGACTAGCATTATATTACATTTATGTAATACAACATGAACAGCGCATGCGCAACAACTGCTCGGACGAATAGCGCATACGAACAGGTGTGTGATGCTCGGTCGAATATCCACGTTCTTTGGTCAAACGTGTGTAGTTTTTCTTATAATTAACCATTCAATAGGCATTAATTAATAATTTTTTTACGTACAAAAGACATCACTGTTTAAAACATTTTTTTTGGCATAGTCTAATGTCTATGGTAATGTGCAAGATTTTCTGGACACAACACTTTGATTTTTGGTTGGCTGTTGTTCACACGGATTACATGATTCATTCGTGATAATATATGTGCAGTCACTAACACTCATAGGGTCTATGCCCCCCAGGGTACTGCCGGAACGTACCCTGGTAACTATTTGATATGGTTCGGGTTAGCGTTAGGGTTAGGATTAGGGAGTAGGCGTAGGCGACTCCCTAGACTCGTTAGTGGAGTAGACGAGGTACGGTCCGGCATATTAGATAGTACCATGGTACGTTCCGGCAGTACCCTGGGTTACATAGACCCTCTCAGCGTCACTAACACGTGCACACATTCAGACAAGTACTTTTAACACGGGCACAGGCCAAAACAGCAAGTAGAGTCACCAGTATCATTAACACTGCTTAAGTGCCAGTTTAAGTGAATTACAATGCCATGTGTTATTTCCGTGTGTGTGTCTGTGTGTGTGCGTGCGTGTGCATGGGATGTACATATGCATGTTAGGTGTTTTATTGCATTATCTTTGCTCATTGTAGGGTCGTGTGAGAACAAAGACTGTGAAGAAGGCGGCGCGGGTGATCATTGAGAAGTACTATCCACGCCTGACTCTCGACTTTCACACAAACAAGCGAGTATGTGAGGAGATTGCGATCATCCCCACCAAGCGGCTACGAAACCAGATTGCTGGGTAATTACACCTGTGGTTTATGTTTCCCTCGATATTTTGTGGATCTGCCCCCCGGAATGTCAGAAGGCACGTTGTTTATTGACGGATGGGAGAGGGTCCGGCAGGGGATTGTATTAAATTTGAGTCGATTACACATGTGAGAAGCTATTATTTCCGTAATTAAATTCAGCATTTGTTATTTGTTCACCATATTGCTCATTAAATGGATATTATTATTATTGTTTATTTTCCTACTCTATCAGTCATTGCATTTGCTTTATGTATCGTTTGACTAAACGTATATGAGATGTTTTCATGTTTCACTGTAGTTTCCTAACACATCTCATGAAGAGAATCCAGAAGGCTCCTATCAGAGGCATTTCCATCAAATTGCAAGAGGAAGAGCGAGAAAGAAGAGACAATTATGTGCCAGAGGTAAGACGTGCAGAAATGTACATAAATGCCGCAGACTGTCGCTAACCTGTATCCGTCTGAGCTGCTATCTCTTACTTAGTAATTCAATTCAATTTACTTTATTTACACTTATGAATTACATTTTGGAAGTCAAATAGTTGTATATTAATTTGTTTAACTAATATGTTGTCTTCGAAATGTAATTCATACGTGTAAATAAAGAAAATTGAATTACTTCCAGCTGTAGGTTAGACAGACCACCTGAAATGTTCATTCTAATGCACAGCTAAAGTGTTTAAAGTACTGACGAGTGTGTTAACGTGTGTGTTCTTAGGTGTCGGCTATTGAGCATGATATCATTGAGGTTGACGCAGACACCAAGGAGATGTTGGTGATGATGGTAAGTGTAGTCTCACATTGTGCGTGGAAGTGTCACCCTCGTTAACTGTACAGTTGACTTATCAAAGCTTGCCAGTGAAATAGCGGTACCTGAGTATGGTAGGAAAAGTCGACTGGGGATTTACGTTTAAGCAGGGACGAGAACTTTTCGTGGTGTCACAAATTGTCGTGTTTTCTACGCTGCCGGGGCCACTTTTGAGATCAGTGTAAATTTTATAGAGAACATTTTGGCAAGGGTGTAAGCATAACAAGAATACCCTAATGTCAGCCATTATGAAATCATATTGAAGTCGCATCCCAACTGTTAGGAATACATATGTTGCATGCAGGGATATGCATAACTATAGGGTGATAAAGATTTTGCGTGCAGGCATTTGCCACATGCTGTCGTAGTCGTTTGTTTGCTTATGCTCTCGACTGTATTTATTTCCTGGTTGTTCTCGAGCCCCTGTATTAATTAGATAGGAAGATGGCATCCTAGTTTGTTTAATCGTGGAGATTCGCTTTGCTTGCAGGACTTCAAGATACCTGGCCTGCAGTTGACGCAGCCCGTAGGCAGCGGTGTCGGAGGTGGGTTCGGAGGAGGAGGTGGGTTCGGAGGAGGCGGTGGGTTCGGCGGAGGCGATAACCGTAGACAACCAAGAAACTGATTTCGCTGTAATGTTCAAGTGAAGTAATAAAGCAAAAAAAAACAAATGATTGTCTGTTTTGTGATTTTTTGTGCACGCATCGAATTACATGTAATATACAATTATAATAAATTAATTGTGCATTAATTATATATAATATGATATAAATGCATTTTATCGACCCGTTTATCCAGTGTCCTTGCCAGTAGATGATTATGTGTATAGAATTCTCGAGTATGTGTTGCTCTTACATATTTTGAGGTCCCAGGGTCCCCACAGCCCTTAAAAGTCCTTGAGTTTTGTCTTATTATCTTTAGTTTGTACTATGTATTAGCAATAAATTTATAGAGAAAGGATTGCTATCATTGAATTATGGTGTAAAATCACAATTTTTACTTTATATATGTATCTAAGGTATATATGATGACTAAAATTCTAAAACTACTTGTCACATATTGTGCTTGAAAAAAACGTCCTTGAAAAGTTTTTGACAAAATAATTCAGACTTGGAACCATGTACTGAGTACCTAGCAGTAATAATGTACCATATAGAATCAACCATCACAAAAAAACGAATACCAATGATACCTTTTCATTCAATATTATATGCTTTCAATTCAGTAATCGATCTATATCCTATCATGCTATATTCTCTCGGGAATAAGTGATCCACCTCTCCCAAGTGGTATCGCCTACGACCTCGTTAGCACGTTGAATTTTATTCAGGCAAATGACTCAACTCCCCCCCCCCCTAAACACAAAATATGATTATACGGCTATAATACCCGTTTTTACAGTCACACAAACACATACACACACACACTAAGGGCCCAGTCACACCAGAGCTACGCTCATCACGATCGCCCCGTCCTCAAAAAATTTCCCCGAGCGTGGTGAGCGTGGTTGAGAGCGTGGCCAATTGGGCCCCAGCGCCGATACTACGATCTAATTACGTCCATACTACGATCTAAGTGCGTCTTTACCCCGATCTCATTGCGCTCAACAAGCTTTCACCACGCTCAACACCACGCCCGCATCACGCTTGCACTGCGCGGACGGCGTCTTTATTGCGACCAATCAGATCGTGTTGCGTTCGAACGACGCTTGCACTGCGCCTTAGCAACGCTCACCGCGCCTCAACTACGCGCGAATCACGCGCCGACTGCGCTGGCAACGATCATATAAATACCGCGCCGCGTTCTATACATCATCATTCATTCTGCCGTGCTGTCAAGATTAACATCAAGATAACTAAGAAGATCAACATTATCAACTTAAATCAAGATTATTTCTACGGGACACAACTATGGCCGCCAAAAAGACAGAGGGGAGAGCCAGCAAGATCTTGTTGTCTTCTATTTCTCCTCCTCATGCTCCTCAGCATGAAGTGAGGGTTTAGCAATCAGTAGTTCGAGTTGTCCTGTCTAGGACGAGAAACATAGCAATAGAGTAGTGTTGGGGCTGGCATCCATAGTGACACTGAACTGGTGGGTGGCTACAGGGTCAGCCCAAATTAGTACGCCCAAGTTTGCAGGACGTGATCTGAGCGTAACTAACAGCGTAATGCGAACATGCCCAACGGCGTAGTCTGGAGCGTGGTTGGGCGTAGTATCAATCGTAGTAGCGAACGGGTCGAGCTTGTTAGAGAGCGCGGCCACCATGGTCATAGCGAGATCGTGGTCAGGTCGCAGAGACATCTCCATGGACCGGGTAGTAAGCAGGCGTGATGAAAACGTAATTGACATCGTGGCTAAGAACGGGCGACAATTATTCACAGCGCGTCCGACACGCCCTTGCCGATAACCGACGGCATTAGAGTCGTCTAACGTACCTCGAGTTTACGTGGGTACTACGCCCTTCCCACGTCTCTTAATAACGCCCGCACTGCGCTGTATTTTGACCGGCCCAACGCCTCAGCAGCGCATCGATCTATTTTGAACATGTTCAAAGTTTGGCCACGCTCGTGCCACGCTCCGATGAGGCTGACCGCTTGCACCGGCGCTCGATCATCGATCGCAGTACGTCTAATAACGTCACACTGCGTTCTACAGAACGTTTCCACCACGCTCTAGAGCGCTAGTACGGAAGCGTAGTGAGATCGGGGCGCCAGGGGTGGTGGACGGGGTACGCCGGGCAGCAGCGCTGGTATGGTCGGCGCGTGTACTTATACGACGTAAATTCAGCGTTATTGTGCCTCGTGGGGCACGGTGGAAAAAGTTTCGGACTGTAATAACGGTGAGATACTATATCATAGTATATAATAAGGCACGATCTCGCTATTATGTACTCATTGAGATATATATATACAGAGAGAGAGAGAGAGATACAAACAGAGATGAGAGAGAAGGTGCACCCCACAGAGGGAGAGAGAGATGCCAGCTAGAGAGAGAGAGGAGAGGGAGTAGAGGAGATACACGGAGAAGAGAGATACAGCCAGAGAGAGAGGAGCAGAGAGATACACCAGAGAGAGAGAGGAGAAGAGAGAAGAGAGAGAGAGAGAGAGAGAGAGAGAGATGCGAGAGAGAGAGAGAGAGAGATAGCACAGAGAGAGAGGGAAGGAGAGATACAGAGAGAAGAGAGAAGGAGAGAGAGAGGGAGTAGAGATATACACAGAGAAGAGAGGACGAGAGAGAGAGAGAGAGAGAGAGAGAGGGAGAGAGAGATAAACAGAGAGAGAAGAGAGAGGGAGAGAAGAGATACAACAGAGAGAGGGAGGAGAGAGATAGCAGAGAGAGAGAGAGAGAGAGAGATGAGATAAGAGAGAGAATACACAGAGAGAAGGAGGCGAGAGAATTATACACACAGAGAGTGGAGAGAAAAGGAGCAACCAGCCACAGAGGATGCCCGCCGCACGAGAGAGGACGGAGAGAGAGAGATAGGAGAGAGAGAGAGAGAGAGAGAGAGAGAAGAGACAGAGAGAGAGAGAGAGAAGAAGAGAGAGAGAGAGAGAGAGAGAGAGAGAGAGAGAGAGAGGAGAGGAGAGAGTAGGGAGAGTGGAACGCGGAGAGAGAGGGAGACGAGATACACAGAAGAGGGAGAGAGATACACAGCGAGGGAAGAGAGATACAGCAGAGAGGGAGGAGAGAGAGAGAGAAGTAGAGAGATATATATATACACAGAGAAGGAGAGAGAGCGAGAGAGAGAGGAGAGAGAGAGAGAGGAGAGAGAGAGAGAGATAGCAGCAGAGAGAGGGGAGAGAGATACATTAGAGGAGAGGGAAGAGAGATACAGCAGAGAGAGGCAGAGAGATATACACAGAGAGAGGAGAGAGAGAAGATACACAGAGAGAGGAAGAGAGAGAGAGTGGTGTGTGTGTGCGTGCGTGCGCGCGCAGTGTGTGTGTGTGGCGAGCGCGTACGTGCGTGCATGCATGGCGTGGGGCGTGAGTTGGCGTGAAGAGAAATATTGCAAGAGAGATGAGAGTATGTGTGTGTGTTGGCGTGTGCGTAGTGTACGTGTGTGGCGTGCGTGGCGGGCGTGCGTGTGTGTGTGGTGTGTGTGCGTGTGCGTGTGCGGTGTGCGCTGTGCCTTGTGCGTGTGGCGTGGGGTGTGTGTGGGAGATGATAAAAAGAAGACAGAGAGACGAGAGAGAGAGAGAGAGAGACGAGAGAGAGAGAGAGAGAGAGAGAGAGAGAGAGAGAGAGAGAGAGAAGAGAGAGAGAGAGAGAGAGAGAGAGAGAGAGAGAGAGAGAGAGAGAGAGAGAGAAGAGAGAGAGAGAGAGAGAGAGAGAGAGAGAGGAGAGAGAGAGAGAGAGAGAGAGAGAGAGAGAGAGAGAGAGAGAGAGAGAAGAGAGAGAGAGAGAGAGAGAGAGAGGAGAGAGAGAGAGGAGAGAGAGAGAGAGAGGAGAGAGAGAGAAGAGAGAGAAGAGAGAGAGAGGAGAAGGAGAGAGAGAGAGAGAGAGAGAGAACGATGAGAGAGAAGAGAGAGACAGAGAGAGAAGAGAGAGAGAAGAGAGAAGAGAGAGGAGAGACGAGAGATGAGAGAGAGACAGAGAGAGAAGAGAGAGAGAGAGACGAGAGAGAGAGAGAGGAGAGAGAGAGAGAGAGAGAGAGAGAGAGAGAGAGAGACAGACGAGAGAGAGAGAAGAGAGAGAAGCAGATAAGAGAAAAGAGAAGAGAGAGAGAGAGAAGAGAGAGAGAGAGAGAGAGAGGGAGAGAGAGAGGAGAGAGGAGAGCAGAGAGAGAGAGGCGAGAGAGAGAGAGAGAGAGAGAAGGTGAGAGTCACGGAGATGGTGAGGGTGAGAATCACGGAGAGGGAGAGGGTAGCGGAAAGGCGAGAGAACTATATTAGAACATATATTGTGGCATCGTGCCTAGGTGTGCCGTTTGTGCTGTAGCGTGCCGTTTGTCTGCGCGTGGTGAGCTGGCGCATGCGTGTGTTAGCATCCTGCTCGTTCCTAGCATTACTCGTCTCCCTCTTTCTCGCCTCTCTTCGCATTCGCTCTCCTCTCTCACATCGCGCTTCCCTCAGCGGGCCATTTCCCACCTCCCTGTCTCACGGATAGTATCGCCCACGGCATCAAAGTTGCGACAGGTGAAAAGTTAGCCGCCAGGCAAATGGCTTTAGTTTCAGCCTCAACTTTTTCATCACCCCAAAGGGCACAAAATGTGGCGAGCCTGGATGTGGAGATATCGGGGCTATAATAAAGCGTTTTTTAGTCAGTGCTACACAAAACAGCACATATAACACACACTAACAGGACGCGACACGCGGTATGGTTCGCAACGCAGCGCGTGCGCGTGTATTATAGCGTACAAATTCATCCATTTTTGTGCCTCGGGGGTGAAAGAAGGTTCGACTGAAATCGGGCCATTTACCTGCAAATAGTTTTTCCATGGCTTGACTGGTCGTGGCGATACCTATCCCGCGGGCGGAAGGGAGTAAGGAATGAAAGTGCTTGAGCTTTTTATTCGCCTGTTAACTGTTACTGCCTTGACCACAGCATATGAAAGGTCAGCAGAAAGAACTCAGGCAATTGTTTATTATTATTATTTAAATCTTTATTGCAATGTAATATCAACTACTAAATACTATGTACTGAAGACAGGTCTTTTTGCAATCGAGAAAAA